AAAATACACACAGCATAAAATGTACTTTTTACCATTTTTAATTTGGTAGAATTAAGTACGTTCATATCATTGTACAAACACCGCCCCCATCCATCTCCATAACACTTTTCATCCTGCAAAACGGAAACTGTCCCCGTTACGCAATAACCCCCATGATTCCCTGCTCCCCAGGTTTTCTGTAGGGCTCCTATGGTCTCTCCTGGGTGCCCTTAACGCAGTCTCTGTTCCTTAAAATAACTCCTTTCTTTCTCTCTCTGCCAAAATGCTGCCTCACCACCCCTCTCAAGAATGGAAGTCTTTTTGCTCCCTTTTCTCTGCCTCTTGAATTCAGTAGCTGGTATTCCATAGGGTAACAAAAGTCCACGATATCCTGACCAAAAAGGCTGGGACGGCGGGAGTGGGAGGGGTTGCTGAGTCAGAGATGGGGGTCCTGGAGTGTCAGTAACACGCCGTCACCTTTCTGAAAAGGCATTTTGCAGTAGCCAGCAAGAGACACACAGAGGCTTAAATCCACCGATCTAGTAATTCCTCTTCTATAAAGATATGCACAAAGATTTAGGTTCAGCATAGTTTGGTGCATAAGAGTGAAAAATGGGGAGTCTACTCATAGAGGCTTGACTAGGAAAAGTCAACATGGACTTCTGTGCAACAATTAAAAATCACATGTGAGTTCAACACATGGGAAAATGTTTATGTCATAATGTGAAGTGAACAAAGCAAGATACACAAACTGTATGCACGTGATGGTTGCCAATTTTAAAAAATGAACCAGCAAAGAAAGACATGGTAGAAAACCTCAATGTTAAACAACGGTCATCTCTGGCAGGTGGAATATTGTGTAATCTAAACTTTCTATCCATTTCTTTATGTTCTTGTATATTCTGTGACTGGGCATCTCTTTTATAGTCAGAAAAAAGATATAAAGACTGTAACACAGATGCAATGAAAACTGAGCAATCTTACCTACTATTCAAAGAAATGCGAATTAAAATATATTTTTGTTTCTCCCTACATGGATGGGGAAAAATAGTAATTTCCCTGCCAAGCCTGTTTTGTGGTTTCTAGAGCAGTCCAGGGTGGGTCTGTGGAGGAACTTGGGCTGTTGCCTAACCACATGCCTTTTACAGCAGAAATGGAACTGTGCATCTTTGAGAAAACAACTTGGCCCTCCCATGGATGGAGGATGTCTTGAAGAGAAACCGGATATTTCTAAATTTGCTAAGACCTACTTCTCCCACTTGCTCCCAGATCACACTACCTTTGGGTAGCTCCAAATGTGGTTGCTAGACGAGTAAGTTAAGCTGACCGTATTACAAGTCATGTGGAAGCTGAAGTGGTCCCCACATGCTGGGGGAGTGGGACATGGGTGGAGAAGAAACTTAACCTTTGAGTTGAGACAGACTGTCCAAATTTGAAGGCACTACCTGGGGCATCACCTAGGGGCCAGGTGATATCTAAGGTGGACCTCTCAGAGTCGGGTTTCCATGGTCCCAGGTGTAGCTGTTGACCTGTGGGACCAGAGGTGAATTCTCTCCCTGGGTGCTCAGGGACAGGTTGTCAGAGAGATGACGGGTAGCCGGCTGGATCCTAGACACACCCCGGATGCAGTGGGTTAAAGGGACGACTGGCTCTTCCCAGTAACCCAAAGCATGTGTTCTCCACCTTGGTGGTAAGACTCCTGGAAAGTTGACTTTCCTTTAGATGGTCATTTAATGAGCACAGAAAAGCCTACAAGGAGGAGGATTCTTTGGACCAGACTTGGCTTTCCCCACAAGCGCTGGGGCAGCCCCAGGGTGTAGCCATCCCCCCCCGACACCAACCCCCCTGCTCTGAGGCTCCGTTTACCCCCAGGTCCTGCTACAGGCCACTGACAGCACTTGCCTCTGGGGCTGCTGGTGTCCTTTGCTGCTGAGTCTGTTGACATCTTTCATTAGAGATGCTACTGATGTCACAGAACAGCTATGGCCAAAGGCTGCACCAGCCAGGCTGCACCTGTCATTGTGAGTAGATTGATTCTGTTTAACTCTGAATTCTGGGGAGCAGGCCCCCCTTCCCACCAAAGTCATCTGCCTGCAGACTTTCTTTCTGGGGAATTTCCATTGCCTACCTACGTTCTCTGCTCCTCTTCCCAGAGATGTAATTGACATAGGGCAATGTATAAGTTTAAGGTGTACAACAGTGATTCTGTATATGTGTATACTGCAAAATGACCAAAATTAATCAGCAAAGAAAGGCGTGGTAGAAAACCCCAATGTTAAACAACGGTCATCTCCAAGAGGTGGAATATTGTGTAATCCAAACTTTTTATACACTTCTTTATTTTCTCATATATTCTGTGACTAGGCACAATAAAGATTAGCTAACACATCCATCACCTCACATAGTTACTTTTTTTTTTTTTTGTGGTGAGACCTTTTAAAACCTATTCTCTTAACAATGTTCACATACACACTACAGTATTGTTAACTACAGTCACCACAGGATTGGTCTGTATTTTTACCAAAGTGAGGAATGAGAGTCAGTCGACTGACAGTCAAAGGGATCTGCCTGTGTCATTAAGTCACTGGGTGACCTAAGTCACTGCCTTGGTTTTCTTTCCCGCAAAATGCAGGTTTGGAACCCAGTACTTCTGACCACCCACAATTCTGTGATTCTGGAACTGCAAATAACAAGAAGGCAAAGGCAAGCTAGTATGAGTTTCCTCACTGGGAAAGTTTCAATTTAATAATAATAAGAAGAAAAAGACTCATAGTAGTTGCGAGCAGGTATTTGGGCTTGCTCTGCCGGGCCTGCTCTGTGAGCATTGTGGAAGTAAAATCTTACTAAATTCTCATAATAATCCTGGCAGGTGGGCAATACCTTTATTCTTATCTCTAGATGATGAAAGTGAGCCTCAGTGGTGTTCAGTAACTTGCGAAAGACCGCTGGGGGAATATGTGGGGACTCTGTTGCAGATTTCTGTCTCCAGAGTCCACATTTCCCTCTGCTTCTGGGAAGCCCAGAGCTCAGAAGTGGATCCGATCTGGTGTGTGTGCCAGGGCCAACTGTTCTGTTCAAATGTGTCCTCCTTTACTTAGACACTGATGTCTAAGGTTCAATTTTAAACATACTTCCTTGCTTTCTCCCTATTCTGTCCTAGGCAGCAAAATTGAATAAATAAATGTTTCTTTTCATACACAGTTCATTTTCTTCTAGGAATGAAAGTGTTTGTTCCTCTACTTCTGTTGCTCAAGCCAACAGAAGTAGAATCAAGAATCATTTCTCTCTTCTTAGGGGCCCAGAAATAAGTTAAAATTTAGTTAAAAGATTCATGATTTAACAGCTGGAATGAGGATCAAGTAAATGTAGCGACCTCGTGAACACCTGAGAAGAGTTCCCTCCACTGGTTGTTGAGCCAGCGCTCTAGAAGTTTCCCAGCATCCACTCTGCTCCCAATGTCTTTCTTTTCTTCTCTGGTTTTAATTCATTTTTTTATTGTTCAGTTACAGACGTCCTGCCTTCTTCCCCATTGCTCACCCCTACCCCGTACCCCGCAGCTCCCACAGCCAAACCCACCCCCAACATTGTCCATGCCCGTGAGTCCTCTATTTGTGTTCCTTTGCCTGCCCCTTCCCCTTCTCCCCGCCCCCCGCCCCCTTATCACTATATCCCCTCCCCTCCGGTCACTGTCAGTTTGTTCTCTATTTCCAAGTCTCTGGTCCTACTTTGCTCATTTGTTTGTTTTGTTGATCAGGTTCCATGTATAGGTGAGATCGCGAGGTATTTGTCTTTCACTGTCTGAAGTGCGTCACTTAGCCTAGTACTCTCCGGTTCCATCCCTGATGTCAATTCCCCACTTTTCTCTTACGAGCCCCGTACTCCTGCACGTCTCCTTTATGCATGCCATTCACTTGCCCTAGAATGCCACCCCCTCCTTTTTGCCTGGAGAACCCCTTATCCTTACACTTTCAGGGCGGATGTCTCCGCCCATGTGTTACCAATTAATGCCAATTATATTTAGTCACTTCTCTGTTCTGTACTTAAATGTTAAGCACTGTGAAGCATCGAGGGAAGAGGCCCGGTCTCACTCATCTTTGAAATAATCCTGGGTCTGAGCTCACAAATTCCATGGACTATATGCTTAATAAAAGTTTTGTTAATACACTACTTTGATATGTATATGTCAGCAGCTAAAAAGTTCCTGCGCCCTTTTACCCAGTTATCTCCATGGTGTGGGATTTATTCAAAGGAAATGATTGAAGAGGAGAAAGGAAATCACGTACGTATGTATTTGGTAAATATTGGAAATAGTGAAATGTTTATCCGCAAAGTAATGGCGAATCCGTGACAGTACGTGATCTTGATGGGACATGACTTATTTCTTTATTGATTAAGCAAACATATTGACTGCTAAAGAGGTATCAAGAATATGGCAATGAGTCAAATGCCTTTAGCGACCTGTTAAAATATACCACCTGGCAGAGGCTTCTACAAAGATAATCACAAAACGATAGAGAAACAGAGTGCTACGTGTGGCCTACTGTTAAGAGAAAAAAAGCAGATTATAAAACTGTTTATATATTATGATTGCAATTCTAAACCCATGAGGGTATGAACAAGACCAGCACGGGCAAATGATAATACTGCATAGTTGGATTATAGATGATATTTTCTTTAGCATTGTCACAGGTGTTTTTTCAAGCTTTAAAGTTTTAGACCATTCTAAATGTTTACTGAAAAAGAGAAAGCTGCCCCCGTGACCCTGGCTTTCTAGCTTGGTGGTGACCTGAATGACAGGCTTATCTGCAGTCAGGCAGGGGTTTGCCACAAGATGACAGGGAGGGAATGTTTCAGGCAGTATAGACGGCTGGGCCAGGGAAGGCTATTGGGATCAGCCCCCAAGAGTGTCCACTGAGTGCCACTCAAGGAACCAGCTTTCTCTGTGTCTCGGCTATCCCGTGCAGCTGGCCTACAGGGTCCTCTGGGCTCTGTCAAGACCACCACTTAAGCACGGTGCCAGGTCGGGGGCAAGCTGAAGTCTGGGAACCAGACCAGCGTGTTGGAACCTGCAACAGTTGGTGGCTGGTCCTTTAGGCTGGAAACGATGCTACCGATGTGGAAAGTATCATTGTCTCTATTCTACAGATGAGGAAACTGAAGCTCGGTTGGCCCTAAGATACTCAGTGGGTAAGTCATAGTGAGTTGGGATTGGAAATTCTCCTCAGTTTGGGCCAGAGTTCTTTTTATTTCTCCATTATTTTTGTGGGGGGCGAGGAATTCGGCCCATCATTTCTTGCAGGTAAGAAAGAAGAAAAATTTGTCCTCATTTTTCAGTGTCAGACTCAGGAGACCCAGGCTGTCTCTAGGGATGATGCTTTGGGGATCTCTTCAGAGAACCATGGACGCATCTTCATCACTGGTGTAGTTAGTCAAATTGCTGCTCAGAACACTTTCCCTCTTGCTCCTTTGTGATTCAGAAGAGGAGAAACTGACAGGGACGGAACCACCGCACAGGACAGCCAGGCATTTCCTATACAGGTGGTAAAGATATCTTCTGAACTTCTCTCCAGCAAATGCATAGATAAAGGGATTGAGACAACAGTGGATAAATGCAATTGTCTCAGTCACACTGAGGGCCAGTTTCAGAGCCTGCTTCATCTCACAGCTGGGAAAAAAGTCATAGAGGAGGAGCGTCTCTAAGAAAACCATAATGTTGTAGGGTGTCCAGAAGAGGAAAAACACGATGACTACCAGAAAGATGAGTTTAATAGCTTTAGCTTTCTTGTTGTTCTTGCAAGAAAACAGTGTCTGTATGATTCTGAAGTAACAGTAACTCATGATTAGCAGGGGGAGCAGGAAGCCAACCATATTTACTTCCATGTTGCGGAGCACAGGCCAGAAACCTTGCAGGACCTCAGGGTAGTCCCCAAAGCATTCGTTTTCTGTAAGTTTTGTGAACATGAACTGGGGTGCGGCCATCAAGATGGCTGCTGCCCAGACGCCCAGGCTGATGATGACGCCATGCTGCACGGTCCGGTTTTTCATGGAGTTGGCGGCCAGCACGATGGCCCGGTACCTATCGATGCTGATGATGGTGATGAAGAATATGCCTCCAAAAAATCCAATAAAGAAGAAGGCGGTAGTGAGTTTGCACATAGCGTTATGAAAGCTTTGTTCTCTTATCTGGTAGTGAATCCAGAAGGGCAAGGTGGCTACAAAGAGCAGATCGGACAAGGCCAGGTTCAGGAGGTAAATGTCGGTGATACTCTTGAACTTCTGGCTGTGGGTGAGGGAAGACACCACCAGCAAATTTCCCACTAAGCCAAAGGCAAACACGAGGGAGTATACTATGGGCAGGAAGGTCGCCCTGAAGCCCACGACGTCCCCCAAATCACAGGCTTCCGCATCCTCATCATACTGAAAGGCTTCTGTCATTAAGTTAGGCAAGAGGGTGGGCATGGTGAGGGCCTGGAGGAGAAAGGCAAACAAGGAATGGCATGAGTTCTCAGAGAAACAGTCAGTATTCTGTCTGTCCCCGGACATACGCACGCTGGAAGAAACAAATATTCGTTGGCGCCTAACCAATACATTTCCTAATGTCACACACGCTGTCTCATTGTATGCCCATGACTGTCTCTGATGGAGGCTGTAATTGACTCCTCTGACAGGACGGGAAGCCAGGTCTCTGAAAGCGACTTGTCCAAAGTTACCTAGTCAGGGGTCACCTAGGGTTTGAATCTAAGCTTTTTGAAGCACAAGGCAAACCTTTTTTTTTTTCCTTCTATTTTTCAAGGTTTCTGCACAAGTAGCTAGCCTTACCGGTGTGTGGGCAGGGGAGGGAGGGCCACGGGCAGGGGCGTGGGAGCTGCAGCCCCAATTCACACGTCTGGTCCCAACTTCCTAAAGCAATTTTCTACCCTGTTCCCCCATTCCCGCCTCCTCCCTCTTTGGGACCTAGTGTCTCCTGCAAGAAACAGAGACTGGAGAGAGGTCCCAGACACTCTCCAGAGCCCTCAGCAGACCCTCCCCCAGAAGCCCTCATCTTTGCTTCTGGGAGCCATTTTTTCCTACTTCCTCTCAAAATTGATGAGTCCTTCTCGTCCTTAAGGGGTAAGACACAGAGTCACCTGCTCTACGGTGACTACCTTGTCTTGGTTTGTCCAGGACTTTTCCAGTTTTAGAGCTGAAAGCCTCCCCTGTTGGAAATCCCTCCCTTCTAAGCAAACCCAGATGGTGGCTCATCCCATTGCTCCTAGAGACGAGCCGGTGTCGCTGCCATCCAGGCCTCTGCGGCGTGACGAGGGCTGCTTGGTCCCTGACGGAGGGCCGCGCTCAGCCTGCCGCACCAGGCCTGCGCAGCTTGCCCACCCTACCATTAGCAGCCCCTCGCTTTCCTTTGGCCCAGCCCTCCCCACTCTTCCAACATCCTCTTTCCTCCTGAACAAAAATGGAAAGAGAAGACATTTCTGCACAGGTTGGGAAGTAACATGTATCCCATTCCCCCTCTCCCAGCCAGGCCTTGCTCCTCATCCTCCCCAGAGGCTGCAAGAGCAGCCCTCGGGTGAATACTGTGCCCCCGGGCTCATGCTCTGCCCTGAGATTCCACAGACAGGCACCTCAGAAACCGCATCCATACCTGGAGCATACCTCCTGGTTGTCGTTGCTGCCTCCCTCTCCACCACAACTAAAAGCAGAGCTTGCACTTCCGTAAGCAAGGGAGTTCTCACACCTCACAGCTTCCTTTTCTCACTGGCTTTTCACTCAGACCGTGAGGCCAAGGTGACGACCCACCCACTGCATCGTTCCATCTGACCCGGGTTCAGGCAGGATGACATAGGTCAAGGCTCCCATGTGGGCTGTTTAGGGAGTTCTCAGCCCCCGTGAAAGCCTATGCTTTCTTTGCTTTAAACTGCAGGGCCCTTTTCTCAGAAAAGACCCTCTGGCTTTGACCTTAATCAATAACATTAAGCTGAACCATATAAAATGGCTGATATGCAAGCATTCTGAACCATACGAAGGTCAGTTTTGCATGGTGCGAGCTGAGATCGGGGAGAGGGAGGAGAAATCGCTATTTGGTGCCCCTGGCTTGTGGCAAATGCATATCTTCCTAGACATACAAATGAGGAGGGCATGCAGTCAAGCCCTTGGTGGTCGTAACTGGGGATGCTGGGGCAAGCTACCCTCTCCCTCCCTTCCTCCCAGTGGAAGGAGCTGCCATGCTGACCTGGAGAAGAGGCCAAGGTCAATACAAATCACGGTGCAGCTTTTTGAGCGCCCGTGGAGAGTCCTGCAGCCCAGGAGCTTCGTGTTTTTGGATCGGCTTGACTTTACAAAATTTGCACAAGTTGGGTCTGATTTCCACTCTTGGCACTCATTGTGCCTTACACACAGGGACCTCCTATGAACCTCCAGGCAGGTGTCCCTGGGTCATTGAGGAGGAAGAGCAGGGTGATGGGCAGGGAGAGTGAGGGCTGTCGACTTGGGCTCTACTCACGTGGTATCCCATGTGTGCCCTCTGACCCAGTGACCTTGGGTGAACTTGGAACCTTTGGGTCTCACATTCCTCACCTGCAAGATGGGTTCATTCTCACGGCTGCCCGCAGTTCCATTATGAAGTGAGTACCTGGCATGGTGCCTTGTACACAGCAGGCATTTAATCAATGCATTGGGTGAGAAAGCAGAAGCACCTTGGATGTTTGGGATCATCCAGGCTGCCCATGTTTCACTCCTACCCTAGGCATTGTGAAAATTTGGTCTGTAAATGATGTTTTATTTTTTTTCCCCCTGAAATAAAAAATGCTTACAGATTTTTTTTGGAGAGGGTGGGAGGAAGAGAGAGTAAGCCAAGCTTTACTGAGCTTTTACTATGCTTGCAGACTCACTGATAAACACTTCACATTATTATCTATTTAGTCCTCTCTCCAATTCTACAGGGCAAGTCCTATGTGTAACTCACTGCCTTGCTGAATGGCCCCAGGGATATTCATGATGAGAGGAAGGGAAGGCTGGCACATGCGCTTGGAGAAGGTAGCGATAGAAATAAACAATTGACTTCCTGGCTGAGTGGCAAGGAGGTCCAAATGCAGCCCCTCACCATGCCGAGGGCCTTGGCTCAGGCCGGCCCCATGCACAGGGATACTTTTTCTAATTGGCACCAAGACACCGAATAAGCCAGGGGTAGTCCTGTTTGGAGGGGTTCAACATCCATTCAGCGAACACGTACCAAGTGTCCGTGGACACTGGGCTCAGCATGGCAGAGGCACATGGAGAGATCAGTGAGGCATAGCCTCAGCCACGAAGGGGCTTGTCATCGCAGCAGGGAAGGCTTCACATAAACCAGCGCTTTGATAAGGACAGAACGCAGGAGTGTACTAATTTATCCTCAGGATGGGATGCCATTTCAGATACGCTTTGGGAAGGATCATTGTGTCTGACTGTTGGCCTCATGGCTTATTGCAAGTAAAAAGGCTGGTCAAGGGGCATCAGTCTAGATTGCAGACCACTACCTGCCATCCAGAGGGTCCGCTCACGTGAGGGTTCAGCTCTCTGGTGGCTCAGCGTTACCATCAAAGACCCCAGAAGTGTCCCAGTCTCCCATGACTCTTCTTCAGCACTTGCACAGTGCTATGCACACAGTAAGTGCTCACTCAGCAGGTTGGAGTCCTGCTATGAGCACTTCTGCGCCATGATACAGAGGAAGGAGTGAAAAAACACAGCTTTCAATGAGCTCCTCATAGCCTAATATTCCAATATAATAACAACAGTATGTTGCACGTGCTTGATAAATGGTAGCCAACACATAAAAGGATTATTATCTCTATGGGCCAGTAGATGCATTCAGTGAGGGTGAGCAACTTACTTAAGGCTGCACAATTGGCATGTACCAGGGCTGCAGTTTGGACCCAGATGTGATCAGGCTCAGAATTTTTTCCCAACTTTGCACTACACTTCTTCTCCTGTCCCAAGACTATGTGTTCCTAAGAGAAGAAAGGTGGGTGACCTCTTTAGCTGCGTAGGCCACTGTTCAACAGAAGGAGAGATCTGGCACAGGGAAAATGCATAGGAACATTTATGGGAGAATTAATATTGTATCCTAGACCTTCCTTCCAAAGACTTCCATGTAAATAGTGACAACAGTAGGTCTTTAATTGACCCATTTCCAGAGGTGTTCACAGGGTAGACAGGTTTCTGATCATCAGCCAGGGGCCCTTGATCTCTGAAAGCTTAGTGGGTCCCTAGTGTGGTGGATGAATGAATGAGCGAGTGAATGAGCGAAAGAAGGAATGGAAAGAATGAAAGGCCTAGGGGAGTGAAAAGAGAGACCCATCAGTCTTCCAATACAGCCCCAGGAGACAAGCACAGACCCACTAGTTCTCTAAAGAGAAAACGGCTTAGAAAACACAGCCACTCATCTTGACACTCTCTTTTAATGCATGGCTGTTGCATATATCTGATCAGGAGACAGATGCCAGCATGAGCAATTTTGGCTCTTTCTTCTGTGCAAATGTCAAGACCCAGCTGCTGCTTTGGCTGTGTGACTCAGGGGTGGCCCTGGGTTTTACGTACATAGTTAGGAAGGGAATTTGCAGTCTGTCTGAGCTCTTGAGGTAGTTCAAACCCAGTCTTGTTAGACGACAGATCCGGAGCACGTGATGGTGCCATTTACCTCAGAAACTTGATGGCAGGTAGGACTTCTCCTTCACTGAATAATTCCATTGAGCTTGATAGCTTAATCAAGAGACCTTTGAGGAAGGGTGAGCCTGAGCTGGGTGGACCTTTTCTTTCTGGATCCAGGGTTAGGAGATGAGACTGAAGATAGGACCTCCAGACAGCAGATGGGGAGGGTCCCTTGTTGGGGGTGGCCTGCAGCGGAGGTCAAAGGGCTGTTGGGGATCAAACTGACTTCCACTTATGCTGGTCACTGGTTTTCCTGGCCCCTGAGGACACCAGAATCCAATGAGGTGAGCCTTTGCAGCGTGCACCCAGCTAGGTAGGTTTCGTGTGGACGCTACTGCAAGGGGAAGGGTGCGTGCTAGGGCGACGTTCACACAGACCGCCAATGAGGCTGCTCTGCACAGCTGAGGGCGGAAGGCAGCAAGAACAAGGCCCCGGGGCTGTTCTCAGACCTCCTCACGCTCTCTTCCATTACATCGAGATTTGACTAAATGGTGGTGAGCTCTTCAAAAATCTCCCACTTGCCTCCCCTACTCAGACTGTTCTACTTCCTCTGGTCCACTTCCTGTTCTCAAGCTCACTCTTTTATTTTTTTTCACTTTTTATTTTTTTGGGTCACCATTACCCATTGTTTCCAATCAGCTTCCCTTTTCTATACTTCCTCCCTTATTAGGTAGGCTAAATCCATTTTCTCCTTTCATTCAATGTTCTTTTCAGGTTGTGTCCCTCTTTCTTTTGGTTTCAAGTTCTGCTTACAGTTTGCTAGGTCTAGTGCATCTGCTTTAGTTTATTTA